ACCACCGTGGAAGATACACCCTGTGGTTGGGAAGCAGGGAGCGCCATCTCTTCACTCTAAGTCAGCTCCACTCCCGGCCAGTGGAACTGGAGCCCATGGTCTCTCATGGGCTTGGGAGTGTGTGGGAGTGGCCATTTTTCAGCTTTTAATTCCAGTTGAATGGAATTGAAGTTTTCAGTGAAACTTTTAAGGTCCAGGGAAGCACTGAGGCAGAGTTTTGGCTTCTAAACATCTGACCCCTGTGGAGTGAGTGGCTCTAAGCCGGGTCGCCAGGGGCCAAGCACAGCCACTCCCTTTGTGACAGGTGACCTAGTGACCTGCCCTCTATGAGCCTTGGTTTCCTCATCCACAAAGTGGAGTGAACACAAGAGCCTACAACACGCACCCAGGGTGCTTAAGGTGGGACCTGTGATGTGGGGGCCCTGCCATGTTTCTGTCAGCGCTACGATCAGACACCCAGGGTCCACGGGCCCATCCCCATGTCGGAAACAATTCCAGAGACTAGATGATTCCTCATAAAATCTGGACTGTTTTGTGCCCCCCCCCGCTCACCCCAACAGCCCCAAACCTGTGGGATTGATTGCTGTCTCCCAAGGACCCTCCTGTGTGTCCCTGCAAGAACCAGGGGCTGTGAAGTGGCCCCACTCAGCTCCAAGGCCAACTTCTGTGTCTGTGACCTCCAGGCCCAGGGGCTACCCCAGCTGCTGGAGAGGGCAGAGAGAGAGGAGGTTGACCCCAGTTCAGGCCATAAGCCGGGGTGCTGACACCAGCCAGGACAGGCTAGCAGGGAGCGTCTCCCTCCGCCCCCCAGCAGAACTCCACACGGTGCCAGCAATTGTGGTGATCTCTCCGAGTGCTCCTGTTCCCCCCTAATGATCCGCGTTTCATCTCCACAATAAACACTGTTAGGACGCTTCCCTCGGCTTAAACACGCATAATTGCTCCTGGTGCCAGTAAAAGGTATTAATTCCACTTATGCATTCCATAAACTTTTAGGATAACGCAATTGATACCGCGGTCGTGTTGGGACACCTCTGCTATTATTTTCCTGCCTGCAAACCTCCGAGGGGCTGGAAAGTTTTCTCTCGAATCCATTAGCGTTGACTCAGCCGCCTTCCACCCAGGGAACCCGCGCAGGCTTTGTGTTTCCCGCCTGCCTTCCACATACACGTGCCTCCCGGGGCGGGAGGGCGGCGCCGGCCCCCAGGATTGAGACACACACACACACACACACACACACACACACACACACACACACACACCCTGCCTGGCCTGGGGGCAGCTGGAGGTCATTCGGGGGCTGCGTCCAGGCTGTCTGGCTGTCTGGAGGTCCTAAGGGACTAGCTGTGCCATGGCACTCTGCACAACTTCACCGTCACACCTGCCCCAGGCCACCAGCCCTGCAAACTGGTGGCAGGGCCACTCGGCCTTCTGGAGGTGCCCCCGAGGCTGGGCCAGGGGGCACACCAAGCCTTCCTGCTTGACCTTGGAGCCTTCCCCCAGACCTCTTCCCTGGCCAGGTGAGCCTGGGAGCTGGAAGAGGCTGAGCCGGGCTGGACAGCATCCAGACGCCTCACTGTGCTGCTCCAACTCTCTGCTCCTCAGGACTCCTGTCACCCGCCGTCCCCATCACTGTCAGCCCGTGGGGGACCCTGGGATAGGAGTGGCCATCAGACCCAGAGGCCAGGCTGAGCACTGCTGAGGGCCCTGCCCCTGCTTTGACCCCCACAGGATCCCCGGGAGGGCGCGGAACAGGGACAAAGGCTCCTGGCTCTACCGTCCACTGGCCCAAGAAACATCAGCGCCCGCTCGTCATTGTGCTTTCACTGTGTCTGCCTCGCCCCAAAGCCCAGATGGGCCCCGCAACTGCCAGGACCGCTCACAGCAGCCAGCATTGGTGGGGAGCTCTACCCCTCCCCCCGGGGCAGTGCCCCCGCTGGCCAAATTCCCACCTCACCCTGTCCTGTCCCTGGTCCCTGGTTTGCAACCTCCTGGAGGAGGAGGACCAGTCCCTCCTCTGGCTGCTCAGCTACCTGAGATCCACCTCCTCTTGGCCTCCTCCGGGATTGGGGGGACGTCAGAACCCTGGGCAGCGACCAGGAGAGGCCTGCACGTGTGCATGTGGGTATGTGTGTGCACTTGTTCACACATGTGTGCTGTGTCTGTACGTGAGCACGCACATGCAGGCCTGCGAGCTGAGGGCTCCAGACCCCCCAGTGCCCAAGGAGCTCAGGTGTGAGATGATGTGATGTCCGAGGCAAGCCAGTCAGGGCAGATGAACTGCCCAGCTGGGGCAACCTGCAGGGGCCTTGGCCAAAGACCCCATTAACAGCTGCTGTCCCTTGGGGGCTGGTGAGGGTGTTTTTCCTGAGCCGGAAAAGGAGTGAAGGCAGCAGTCAATTTGGAATTGTACTTGAGAAAAATAAGAATTATCTATCAGTTACCAGCCGGCTGGCATGGCGGGGGCTGCACACTGCGTGTCGAAGAGGCCTGGGCAGCAAGTCTGGGCAGCGCCTGCGGCCAGACACCCAGAGCGATGAGCAGGCGGTTGCCAGTGGTCCCATCCTGCACTGAGCCCGCCCGCACCCAGACACCCAGAGCCCGCCCGCACCCTCCCTGGAAAAGGAGCCTGTGGGGGGTCTGCTCCCAGAGAACCGAGGTGCCAAAAATCTCATTATCGATGTTTGTCCCACCTCCACCCCCTGCGCTGATAAGGGCTGGGAGGGGCACCGTGGGTGCTGGTGGCAGCATCCTCCCCTCAGCTCAGCTTCCAGAGCAGAGAGCCTTGGGCGGCGGCTCCGGTGTGGGGCGGCACGGGGGCTGGAGCTTGCGGGCAGAGCCAATGGGCACAGCTGAGCCTTTCCTGCCCTCTGATGTGGCTGGTCAGGGCTGCCTCCATCCTGGGCAAACGGCCTCTATGGGGCCACTTAGGGCCAGGACAACTGTGACCGAGCCATGAGCCCCTGAGGCCCAGTGGCCACTCCCTGGGGAGCTGTGGTGAAGGGCCCCCCAGATGGGGGACGCAGCCAGCAGAGAGGCAACTCTGTTCCTCCTGAGACCAGCTCAGACCGTCCAAAGCGCTGCAAGACCCCCAGACCCTGCAAAGGCCCCACCAGCATCCTCAAGCAGCAGAAAGGAAGGGAGCCGGGACCTCCCCAGTGCCTTCCAGGCCCCGGTGACAGAATTCAGTGCCTGAGGGGCCAGGACTCTTCCCCCTACAGGGGAGAGAAAGGGCTTAGGGAACAAGTCTGAACATGGAATAGGAACAGTAGTGAGCCTCCTGTCGCCAGAGGTGTGCAAGTGGGGGTGCCTCGGGGGCCTCCGGGCCTGGCTTCCCATCACCCAGCAGACTGCAAAGCTGAGGTGTGGGGACAAGGACCCCACAGGCAACAGAGACTGGAGACGACCCTCTGGCAGGTCCAGGAGGACCAGGCTTCCTGGTGCCCCATCACCCGTCCGCCAAGGAAATAACAAAAAAGACAACTTGCTGGCTCCCACTGTGCTCAGCCCACACAGGCACCATCTCCTCTAAGCCGTCACCCGTCACCGCCATGAAGAGGAGCGTTGGAGCAGTAATTTACACATGAGGGAAGTGGGCCCTGACCGGGCCAGTGATCCCTGTCCCTCAGCCAACAGAGACCCTGGAGTCTGGCTGAGCCAGCGCCTGGGGGAGCCCAAAGCCTGAGTAAAGGACCAGAAATAGCCGCAGGGGACCATGGCCTGGACCCCAGACCTGGGACTGGCGCGTGCAGAGCCTGACCCAGGCTCCCTGTGGCTCTGCCCCACTTCCGGCCCCCCAGAAGCAGGGAAAACCACAGCCTCAGCCAGCAGGCCAGTGGGGCTCCCACACCTTCAAGTGCTAGAGCCTTGGGGTCACCTGCTCGCTGCTCCCGCGGGGGCGGGGACACAGCTGCTGTTCCCCGGGGGCGGTGGTGCTGCCGCATGGGGCTGCCAGGTGTGCACGGGCTGGGGGCCAGAGCAGGGTTCACGCTCTCCCTTCTGAGGGTGGGCAAGAGACCCAGAGGACCTTGGGGCTGCCTTTGGCACCAATGCCCTGCATGCCCCACCCTCGGAGGTGAGCCTGAGTGCTGTCGGGGGTCTCAGCGTCCTTACAGCCTTTACCCTGCCAGTGGGCATGGCTGGCATGCCCTCGCTCTCCCAACTGCAAAATGGACAACGCAGCCCTGTGGTTAGGGACTCACAGCCGGGAGCCCAGCCCCTGCTTCCTGAGCCAGCACGCCCACTTAGCATCTGCACAGCTCCGAGCAAGCCACTTCCCCTCCCCGTGACTCAGTCCCCTTGGCTGTACAACGGGACAATAATAGATTCTACCTCATGGGTTGCTGGACAGTTTCAAGAGTTACTACAAACTCGAAGAACTTAGCACAGGGCCCAGCTCTCGGAGGTCGCAGGTGCACGGGATGCTATCCAAGTTGGCATGATCCCAGCGGGGGCCGGACCTTCAGTCCGCAGTGCTGTGGCACTCCCCGACCTCCCTGTCTCACGCCCGTCACAGAGACCGTGCGTGCGGGCAAAGCCCACATCCGCCAACCGCCGGACGCTCCTTGCCAATCATGCACTGCTTGGAGGAGGCTACCTCGGTGGGCCCGGCCTCAGAGCTGCCTGCCTCCTGCATAAGCAGGACAGGATTCAAAGCAGAACCCCGCCTGAGCACAGAGACGTCTGCAGAGCAGTCACAATGAGCAGGGCCAGCCGCTGCCCCGTGGACCTTGCTGGGAGCCACGTCCATCCCCTCTGGGGTCCTGCAGGAGCCTGGCCGGCTCTGGCCACACGTCCGGGGGTGAACACGCCCAGACTGCCCAGCCCGAGCCCCGCCTCCTGCCTGACACTCCTCCCGGTGGCGCGGCACGGGCCAGGTGGGAACCCTGTGCGGACAGCTGGACAGCGGGCACGCTTGGCCCTCCCTCGTGCCCGGGACGCACCTCCACCCATGCCCTGCGTCCCACAGATGCCCGCTGAGAGCGGGGGGCACAACTCACCGTCCAGGTGGCCGACTTGGCTGTGCTGGACTGCTGGAAGGTGACATCGAAGAGGTGGGGGCCGGGGTAGTCGGTGTTGGAGGGGATGACTGGAGCGGGCGACATGGTGTCGAACGTGGAGCTGGGCTGCGCGTATGGAGAGTGGGTGGGCACGCTGGCCGTGTGCTCCGGGGTATAGGGGCTGGCCGAGGCCGCCCGGCTGCCCATCTGGTCCATGGTACTGCTCAGCAAATTGAACTGGGGCTGGCGGGAAGTGGGAGGGGAGACACACAGTCAGGCTGGAGAGTGGAGGCCAGGCCCGTCCCGTCAGGGAGGTGTCCTGTTACAGGAGCCTTAAAGGGCCAGCGGCTCCGTCATCCCAAATATTTCCTTGGTCCCCCCCACCCTGACAGGTCACTACTTGTGTGGGGATAAACTGACACATTCACCTCGCCCTCCCCGCTCCATCAGCCTCCCGGGTGCCAGGGTTTCTGGGGCTCCACTGAGCACGCCTGGAGGGAACTGTCTGTGGGACGGCCCCCAGCCCAGGACACCCTCCCGCGCTCCAGCTGTACCCTCCAGGGCAGCACCAGGCCAGACTATAATAATATAAGTCCCCTGTTATAGTGAAAAGTGGGGAGACCCCAGGAGCTGGGGCAGAGGGCGTCCCCATGTGCAAAGTGGACACACCCTGGCCTCTGGTGCAGGGGATGCCTGGGAGGCCCTGGGGGACCAGATCTGGCCCCTAGATCCGGCCATGTAGGTGGTGGGGCTGGGTGGGGGCTGAAGGTCAGTGGCTGAGCCCAAAGCCACTTACCGAGGGCCTCTGTAAGGTGGGCTTTCTCATCTTCTTCAGAATGGCCCCACAGCCCATTTCTCCTGCGGGCAGCTCTCCATGGCCCACACCCGCGGCCCATCCCGGGCACCGGAACCCAGCTCCTCCCCCAGGCCACACACTGGAGCAGGAGCTCTGAGCTGCCCTATGTGGGTGTGTCCTCTGGGTCACCCTCTGTGGGATCCGGGGCCTGGGGATGGGTCAGCCCCCACCAGGAGCTTAAGGGGGTCCCCAGCGAGGGAGGGGGTGCTGCACGAGATGTGGTTCCTCAAATCCAGAGCAGATCTGACCCCACCAGCAAGGAAGACCCTCTCCCTAATCCAGGCTCCAGGCAGGAGGCGGGTGCAGACGGGACCGAGAGGCTGGCCGTGGTCGGATGGCCTCTGCCTGAAAATGCCGAAATCGTTCCTTGTCTGTGTCAGGGCGGCTCCCAGGTTTGACTTAACCCTGTCCACAGGCCTGAGGTGGGCACTTCTGGTATCTCTGTTTTATAGATGAGGAAACTGAGGCACGGAGTGGGAGTGACTAGGCGGAGTGATGTGGTGGCTGAGGTGGTGAGCCGGAACCTCGGAGACCAGTGGAGATGGTGGACTGGGGGTTCCCGCTAGCGGGCAGAGGGCCTGGGGTCCCCGTGGCGGGACAGAGCCAGCCCAGGAAGCAACAGAGGGGCCCTTTTGCGCCTCTTCAGGGAAGGCGGCCTCTTTCGCTGCCTCCTCCAAGTGCAAACGCGAGAGCGGCTTCCTCCGCCTCTCCCAGCCCAGGGCTCAGCCCCTCTCTGCACCCCAGTATTTTCTCCTCCAAGCAGGACTGGGCTTTACAACCTGGAGTCCCCTCCAGCTCAGCCCACCCAAAGGCACACATTCCCCATGCGTCCATGACAAGGGTCTTTGCAGCCCCCAGACCCCCCTCTGTCCTGGGGAGGAAACTTTTCAGTAGGGACTATGTTCTCCTGAAGGCTGCCCAGCCTGGAGGAAACTGAAGTGATGACTGAGGGGGAGGTAGATGACAGGTGGCAGGTTCTTACCAACACCACGGCCCGTGCCTCCTGGGGGGCCAGGCATGGGCGTTCCCAGAAGGATCCAGTCCCCAGGACGGTCACTGCGACCCAGCACGGATCTTGGCCTGGCAGAGGAACTGAGCTCCAGGCCCTACCATGTCCCCCCTGGGGATGGCCACACTGGGCGAGGCTGCAACTGACCCCTCCGGTGGCCCCGGGCAGCTGGTGGCTTTTCTGTCTGGACCTCCAGAGCTACAGCTCATCATAAACCCAGGGACCCATCTAACGGTGGGACGGGGGTCCCCCTGCAAGGCAGACCCTCCCACCTCGGTGTGGTGGGCTCCCCACCGCCTTCTAACTTCCTGTGCCTTCACCTGTAAAGCCTCACGCCCACCATCGGTCAAATGGATGAACAAACTGTGGCCGCGTACAATGACATATTCTTACTCCACCTTTAAAATAACTGAATGTCGGATACATGCTACGACCCAGAGGAAATGCAAAACCCACCGAGGGAAAGAGGCCAGACACACACTCACATACTGTGTGGTTCCACTTATAGGAAGTCCAGGGAGGAGGGTGGATCAGAGACAGCGGCAGGCGGGTGGTCAGGGGCTGGGGGCCGGGGCTAGAGGCTAAAGGGGTGCAGGGCTTCCTTTCGAAGGGCTGAAAATGTTCCCAAGCTGACTGCAGCGATGGCTCCACACATCCATGGACACAGTGGAGGCCCACTGAGCTGTGCACTTGGAGTGGGTGTGTGGTGCGTCATGTAGCGTACAACTCAGTGAAGCAATTTCACACATAACAGAGGGAAGGGCCTCACCTCTCCTGGCCCCGGGCTGCTGCAGGGGAGAGGGAGCCACAGTGCCCCTCTGAGAAGACATAGAACAAGCACCCCCCACTCACGGGGGGCTGGGTGGGGCCCTCAGTGGTCTCGCAGCCCCAAGTGGGAGTGCACTGCATCTGTGGTCCCGTGGCTTCTGTCTGCCCGACTGGACTGCAGGGCCCACACGGACAGAAGTTGTCACTGAGGTGCCCCATGTATGGGACAGTCCTATACAGCAGCCGCTGACCACATGGGCACATGAGACGTGGCCGGTGCGAATCGCACTGTGCTGGGGGCTTAGGGGCACCTGGTTCCAAAGACTCAGTGCCGTGAAAAGAACGTAAAATAAAATGTCTCATTCAAAATTTCACGTTGGTTACATAGTGAATCGAGCATAGGTGATGATATGCTAAACAAATTATTAAATTATTTCCATCTGTTTCTTTTCGCCTTTCTTAGTGTGGCTCCCAGACAATGTAAAACCGTAAAACCACGGATGTGCTCAGATCCCATTTTCGCTGGACGGAACTGGACTGGATCCTCAGTCAGAGTCTGTCAGGCCCACGCGGGGATCGCAAGTATTATTATTATTATTAACACCCCCTTTGGGGGTGCAGAGGGTTTCGCAATACAAAGTGGGTACTCAAGAGGCCTGCCGAGTGAGTGGAGCAGCAGACGAATGAATGAGTGAATGAATGAGGTGAGTGTGATGGCAGCTGACGGCTTCTCCAGGTGGGGGGACAGGATGTGCACTGGCCCCTCCTGCTCGCTGGAGGCTGATAGCCTGGTGGTTCCTGGGGCGGGGATGGCGGGGGTCCCAGCCTGCCCACCCCCTGAGTCTCCCATGATTTCCTGTCTCTTCCAGGTGACAGCCAAGGCCCTGCCAGTTGAGGCCCTGAGCTGCCAGGAGCTGCAGGTAGCCTTCTTCCGTCCTGGCCTCAGATGTGTGCCCGAGTGGGCATAGCCCAGCCCTGGGCTCCAGGTCTGTCCTCCTGCCACTGGCTCCCGGCTCAGGAGAAACAGGAGGCAGCCCCACGACAATGCTGTTCAGATTTTAACTTGTCCACATTCTTTGCTGATCTGAAGCGGGTGCCAGAGAATTACTCACTGAACCTACAGGCTGATAGGATCTCTACGCCCAGCAGCCCGGGAGCGAGAGGGAGTCAGGCTCCCAGCAGGCAGGCCCCGCGCACGCGGGCAGCTAATGAGACGGGCAGAAACTGCTCTGCAGCCGCAAACTCAGACACCCCTCCGTCCCTGTCCACCCTCCAGACCCACAGCCCTCTCGTCTCTGGACCTCTGAGATGCAGGCTCAGTGGCATTTTGTGGCCCGGGTGCCTGGGAGGCTATCCCTCCTAGGGGAACAGGATGACAGTGGCACTGTCCGGGCGGACGCTGCTCCCTTCGTGGGTCCTGCTTCCCAGGGGCGCTTCCACCTGCACCCCCAGGAGGCGGCAGAGATTTCTGTCCTGTTTGCTCTGTGCTTGGGCTCTGAGTGCCGTGGTGTGCCCACCTATTAGGAAGCTTTCCACGGCTCCCGAAAGCCCCCCTCCCATAGGAAACTGCACAGCTGGGGGACTGTGCGGGGCCAGCCCTGTGCGGACCAAGGACTGGGGTAGCGGAGCCTGGACACTGGGCAGAGGCCCACCATGGCAATGTAGACACCCCGGGTGGGTGGAGGTCCCTCCTGAACCAGGGGCCCCGGAAGCCAGGGCGATACCCACTTGGCAGCAGGCAGAAACCCAAGCAAAACCAGGACTTTTTTGGTTTGTTTTGTTTTCAATAAGAACTCCCAAGAGAGTGGGCTAATTAGGACACGCCTGGCCCGCGGCGGCCCACATGTGCCTACATGTGCGTGCAGGGCTCCTGGGCCCGACCCAAGGAGGGCCTGAGCGAGCGAGCGAGTGAGCGGGGTGAGGGAGCTGGCGGGGGGCCTTCCCTCCAGGGACCAGGTAGAGGATTTGCACCAGGCCTGCCTCTGAGGCCAGGTGGCTGGTGGGCAGGGGCTCTGGGAGGGGCCAGGCAGATCCTCACTGTGCCCAGCAGGGCAGGACAGTGCCCCGAGCCTTTGACTCCAGGGCCAGGCAGCCCTTCCAAGCTGTCCGGCCCTTCTGCCCCACAAAGCGTCCTGGCGCTCTGCTAGCTGGGAGCAGCAGGCTGGGCAGGGGCACCGGGGGTCAGACCTGCCCTCCATGCAGGCGTCCTGTGCATGCATTGCGCTCCATGTCAGCCAAAGGCACTCACAGGCTGTCTCCCTGGGGCCACGTGCGTGCGTCAGGGCAGAACACGCGCGGGATGGGTTTAGGGGCTGAGACCTCGGGCTGTGGCCACTGGTCTGCAGAGGGAAGAGGCTGCCGGATGGGGAGGGGTGAGCAGAGGCCCCGCCCCCTGGATGGATGTCCTGAACTGTCTGGGAAGTCCCGCTTCCTAGGGAAGGAAGGGAGATGGCCTCTGCCAAGGATGCAAGAGTCCCAGGGGAACCAGGATGCTTTCCTGGAGCCGTGCGGAGGGGGGCAGAGGCCCGAGGGGGCTGTCCTTGGGGGTGACCTGTCCTAGCTCCAACCCACCTTAAACCTGCCGCCATGTCGCCAGCCTGGGGCCTCCTG